TCCAATGCTCGGTACTAGTAGGGGTCCCCGTCAGACAGATCTCTTGAATTTATTCGCCCGTGTGGGAGCAGAAGCCGCGACAAGGCCGGATCCCAATATGGTGACCACTCGCTCGGCGGCCTCGAGTGCGGCCCCGAACAAAAAACTCCCCAAGTCTCTCTCACTTTACATACACCGTTTCGCCGACCTAGCCCACCGTCCTCGCCAATATCCACCCCTCTCCTACCCGACGAGGAATCAGTTATGGGGCCCGAGATGTCCGGTGCGGTAGTCGTGCCTCCGGGCAGAGTTGACTGGCGCAACTGTCCACCAAGCGGGACATAGACGGTATGGCCACGAAGATTGTTGATGCCCTGCGGCTGGAACTCCAGGAGGTGAAACAGCACCTTTCCACCCTAGATGGCCGAGTGGATTCGGTCGAGACGACAGCCGCTTCTCTACAGGGGTTTTTTTCCTGGCCGTCCCGGCTTCACTCAGCACAACTCCGTTATTTGTGTTATTGTTTATTTACTTTAATTACACAGATTTGAGACTTTTCACTAGTGTTATTCTGTTACCTTACTGTTCTGCCAAAGGTCCATTCCTAGTATCACCAAGGTGCTACTAGGTCCCCCAGTAGGTTATCTCCTGCCCTCCGAGAGGGGGGAAGGTCCGTTAATTTTTTAAGTCGACCCGTAGTCGGGTCTGACAGGTGGTATCTTCCATAGGTACTGTATCTCCTAGTCCTTTAGGTCTTTCCTCCTATTCTTCATAACCCCCTTTTCTCTTTCTCTACCCTAACAGGCATGGCCAGACCAGGGGGCCCTGCCCCGCCGTGGGGAGGCGTAGAGGGGGATTAGATTCACCTCGCTCAATATCAGAGGTTTGAAAACCTGAGAGGCGCTCCGAGCTCCTGACAGACCTGAAGTGCTCTAGATCACAAGTGGTTTTCCTGCAGGAGACCAATTTTAAGACTCTGCAGGTTCCATGTCTCCACAACAGGGACTTCCCTGAGGCGTATCACTCCTCATGTCCTTTAGCAAAATCCAAAGGGGTTAGCATCCTGCTGGCCAGAACGGTGCCATGGAATCTTATAGATCTCTGGCGTGACCTGGAAGGGAGATTTATTTTCGCCAAGGGTCGAGTGGGGAGACTGTCTTCACCTTAGCTAATGTGTATTTGCCCAACTCGGACCAACTGACCTTCCTGAGACATGTTGTGTCTTTACTGCTTGAATTTTCTGAGGGAACCTTGATTTTAGGGGGCGATTTCAACTTTGCACAGGATCCTTTGCTTGATGTTTCCAGGGGGGCCTCGCACTTATCATACGCATACCTTAAAAAGCTGAAAGCTGCATTGCATGTGTTGCGCTTGGTGGATGTGTGGCGGTTCCTGCATCCCGGGGACAGAGACTACACTTTTTTCTCTCGGGTACATCAGACGTACTCCAGAATAGATCTCTTCTTTTGTGAGTCACCAGGCCTTACCGTCCCTACGCTCGGCATCCATAGATAATATATTATTATCGGACCACGCCCCCATCCATATGGTAATGGCCATGCTACCACTACGGTCTACAGTATCCTCCTGGAATCTGAATGAATCCCTCATTCAGGACCCGTTGATAAAGGCAGAAGTAGATAGTGTCATCAGGGCATACTTCCTCACCAACTCTACATTGGTCCCTAGCCCTTCCATGGTGTGGGAGGCACATAAGTGCGTGGTACGGGGTGTCCTTATAACTCATGGGACGAGACGCAAGAGGGAAAAGGTTGAAAGGATATCCCAACTGACAGACCAAATCCATAGCCTGGAGTCCTGTCACAAGCAGTCCTTGGCGCGGTCCTCCCAGATGGCCCTCCAACAGGCGAGAGACGCTTTGAACTCCCTGCTCTACCAACGTACTAAACAACGCCTGGTGACATGTAAACGCACCTTTTACGAATTCTCCAACAAACCGGGTAGACTCTTAGCGAGGGAGTTGGGAGGATCGCAGTCCAAACTGTATATCCCTCACATTACCTCCCGACAGGGCACTAAACTTTCACTATCGGATGACATAGCCTCTGCATTCGAGGACTTCTACGCTCACCTTTACAACCTAAACCTCATCAGGAAGCGCAGACACGTAGACTCCACATAGAGGACTATCTTACACGGTCAGGGATGCCAACTTTGCCCCGACAGGTCGGGGACCTCCTTGAAACCCCACTATCAGTGGAGGAATGGGATCTGGCCATTAAACAGTCAAAACCGCGGAGGGCTTCGGGTCTGGGCGGGTTCACCCTGTTGTATTACCGGTCTTTTGGGCACCTTCTGTCACCGCATTTTTGGGAGGCCATTAACGCCCTCACAATGGGGGTGCACGACCGGCAGACGCCTTATGCGCACACATCACGGTGATCCCGAAACCGGGCAAGGACCCCTCCCTCTGTGGCAGTTATCATCCAATAGCGCTGCTGAACACAGATCTTAAATTATATGCTAAGATGTTGGCAAATAGGCTCCTGCCCTTCGTGCCGGACCTTGTCCACTTCGACCAGGTAGAATTCGTGCCGGCACGGGATAACACCGCCAGGGTCCTGAATGTCATTCATGCAGCGCAAAGTCGCCCTTGCCCCCTCATGCTCCTCTCTATCGACGCCGAAAAGGCGTTCAATCGAGTGGACTGGCAATTCCTGGAGGCCACCCTGAGTCACATCGGGCTGGGGACACATATGCGAGCGTGGATAATGGCTCTGTACTCGTCCCCATCGGCGGCGGTCAGAGTCAATGAGACTCGCTCCAAGTATTTCCCCATATCCAGCGGCACCCGCCAGGGATGCCCTTTGTCCCCGCTTATATTTGTCCTTACATTGGAACCCCTTCTCAGCACTATTAGGGCGGAGGATTCTATTGAGGAATTACAAGTGCCCTCTGGAACACATAGATTAGCAGCATATGAGGATGACCTGGTCTTCTTCATTTCCCGTCCAATGACCTCACTGCCTTCCTTTCTGAGGGCCTTTGATACCTATGGAGGTATCTCCAATTTTTTGGTCAACCAGGCCAAGTTGGAGGTTCTCAATGTAAATTTACCCCCCGCAGAAGTGGCCAAGGTGAGAGCCTCATTCCAGTTCCGCTGGACGCAGTCATGTTTAAACCACCTGGCGGTACGCATAAGTGCAGACCCGGGTCAGTTATATGCGGCAAACTATGTACCATTGCTCCATACGCTTAAACAAGACTTCTCCAACTGCCAAGAGCTGACATTGACGTGGTTTGGCCGTTGTGCCTCCCTAAAAATGACAGTACAATGGGTGGGGATGGAACTGTCGGAATACCGAGCACCGCTGTCATCCCCGTTACCTACAGAGGTCTCCTCGCACCCACTCATTGCTCCTACGCTGAGGGTGGATAGGATATTCCTCGGTAAGTCTGACATTTCCCCCCACCCATCGCCCATGATACCTGTGCTTGGAGATCCTGATTTCCCTCCAGGCTTGGAGAGCGGTCGGGTTTGAAGTTTGCTGAGTGTGGGCAAGTTCTGCCTTTTTTTACTTTATCTCGGTAGGGACCTGGCTCTCTATTGACTCTATACGGAACCTGACCACCAATGCTAGATGAATGGAGTGCGATGCAGATTTGTCACTTTCTGGTCTCTGTACCCGGGTTGCGAGGGCTGTCACGCCGCCTCACAGAGTTCGAGTCCATATGTCACCAAGGGATTCCAGTACGCCATGCCCTATCTATGCTCTATAAGTTACTGTGCTCACCGCCTCAGTCATTCTGTCCCCCGTTTCTCGGGAGCTGGGAGTCCGAGTTGGGTAGAACCTTCACCGAACAACAACGGGATAAAGTCCTATCCCTAGCCCATAGATCGTCCTTGGCCTGTAAATTCCAGGAACAAGGGTACAAGATCCTGACCCGCTGGTCCCTTACATCCTAAACAAAATAAATGATTCCTTACCTTCGACATGTTGGCGCTGTGACCGGGCCCTGGGCACCATGCTCCACATTTTCTGTCAGTGTCCTGGCCTTGGCCCTTTTTGGATGGACGTGAGGTCTACAATCAACCGGCTTGTGATGAGCGACCTTCCAGACGATCCAGCGGTCTGTTTACTTCATTAGTAACTCCACTTGAAAAACTCGGACTGTTGTGGAGGGCCGACTCAATAATACCTATTTGGTTTGTCCCCCCCACAATAGTCCCAGTTTCTTATGAGTATGCATGGTACTGCACAGATCACCTACCATGCATTACAGTGTGGCAGGTTTGTTGCATTGCCATTCATTTTAATGGTGCCCCAAATGCACCTCCTGGCATCAGTGTGATTGACCTTGCTACAACAGATGGTACTGCAGTACTGTGAGCAGCGGTGTGATTAAAAAAGTAGTGCAAGCACTGTTTTTTAAATCCAACCGCAACACATGGTATTGCGCTACCGCGTGTTGCAGCAGCTCGGTCTCATTGCAGCCAGGATGTGCATTTGGGGTGCCGTTCAAATGAATGTCAATGCAATGCACCTCCTGCACTGTTAACATGTGGAGGTGCATTGCGCGGTACTGTGCGTTAATCTAACGGGCACTTATAGTAAAATAGAAAATATGTGCCAACAGTCATGAAACTAAGGACTGAAGAGGAACACGGTCTGGACATGGACCGATCATCAACCTGCGCTGGGCTATGGCTTGCAGTAGATGTACTGGCCTTGGAGGCCGGTGCATCCACTGTCAGCAAGCCATAAATGAGCAGGGGTCGGCGATCAGTTCATGTGCAGTCCACGGGCCGGACTGCTACAGACCAAGTGCCGGATACGGTCCGCAGTCTGTAGATTGCCCAGGTTTACTATAAACGGAGGACCGTTGCCGATCCAGGTACTGTAAACTATTGTCTATGGGCACATAAATAAACAAAAAGGTCACTAAACTGAGTACTTTAATGAAATAACAAATTGTGTGCACTATATAAGATTTTATTTATTTGAATTCTCTACTGAAATCTGTCTTATCTTACATTCTTATTCCTTTGTCTGTTGCAGGGAAACGGCTCTCTATGGAAACCTAATCTTAAAGAAAGGTGTTATTAGCCAGGGGGATCTGGTTTGATGATGCTTATAGATAACACCATTCTTATATCTGAAGTATCTGTATGTGTAACCTTGTTCAAAAATATAATATATAGATGAAGCAATGTTTTTTGTGTGTTGTGTTTTTTAGTTGTTGTTTATGTTGTAAGACATTACAAATATATATATATATTTTTCAATAGCGCTGTCAACCAATCAGAAGGTGTTTGACGTTTGACTTTTGTGGTTGGTTACTGCACTTGGGTTAGATCCTTAGATTAGGTTAGATCCTTAGGTTAGATTGGACTGTTCCTTGGGTTAGATATTAATAAAGACAGTATTACAGTGTTATTTTTACTCCAACCGGTATGAGGGAATTGAGGGTTAAATATGTCCTCATCATTGTTGATGCTTAAAGGGTTATTAAACCCTCCAGTTTTTTTGCATATATCTACTGCTAGCAAGCAGTAGATATATGGAAGAAGTGTAAAAAAGGGTTAATACTTACCTGTGTCTTCCCAGCGCGCTCCCGTCCGAAAATGTGAAAATTCTCGGGCGGCTGCAAAGCATCTTGGGGCGGGTACATGCACAGTTCACATTTTCAGCCGGAACTCGAGGAGAGACACAAGGTAAGTCTATGGACGCGTGCACCCGCATGCAGACACCATGGGATAGGAAAGGCCAGCAAGCTCAGAGGAGTCAGCACTGGATCGGAAACACGCCGCAGCGCTAGAGGGACAGATGAAAGATTTTTGACTTTAATGTCACTTTAATACATCCTGGCTACAATTTTCTGCAGCTTTTGTCAATGTCATCATGTTTTCTGATACTGTATGTTATACAAACAATTTAATGCTCTATTTTATGTTTGAATTTGAATATATTGCTTAAATCAGTCCAGCCTATGCTGCTACATGTGGGTTAATATTCTGCTAGCTATTATGTAAGCTGAAAATAGGTAGCAGTGCATCCAGACACTAGATATTAAGGCAACCAATGATGAGCATCCCTTCCCAGCGAGCTGGTGTATTTATGTCAGTATTGGCTGGATTTTCTGCCACACAGAAGAAATCTGTTTCCATAGCAACCCTTTCACCTTACTTCAAAGGTATCAGACTGGAAGCACCATGGGATGGGATGCAGATTATCCCAATGGGAGCAGTAACTACTTTATTGCGGCACTTGCCTGCAGTGCATGAAACATACTGAAAGCTCAGAACTAATGGTATGAACTAGACGCGTTGTTCTAATGCTTACAGCATGTGAAAATAAATAAGGTGTATTTTATATAGACAGTGTTGAAGTAAATATACATTTAGATGACGTTGTCTGTATTTTCTTGTTATTAGGATACTTGCTAAATCACTGAAGCAGTTTTGCAACAAACAATCATTATAGTGTATCGAAGCAGTAGTAGAGTATTATACTGCATTTAATGCAGAAAGGTTGGAGATGAGGTGATACTCTTTAAAGATGCAAGCTTTTGGTAGCCTTCAGGAGGCTTCATTCTTGGCTGTTTGGTGCCTGAAGAAGGGATCCAAGGCATTGAGATACTAAACTCAGGAGTAACATTTTAAAAATGCATTTAAGTTCCTTATCAATTAACACACATTTAGCTTATTTGTGTATCACTCAGCTTTAGATCCTCAAATCATCTCTGAATTTGGGCTGACACTGTCCTTTCTTCTGGAGGGTGGCTACTTTTGTTCCCCATGGTCACTGAGTGTCTTGTAAAGCAGCCATTGATCCAAGCTCGCTCACCTGATGGATTACAATGTCACGTTTAGTTTACTAATTTTTATTGAAATTATAGTCCATCACAGGAGTGAACTTGGAGTGGTGACTACTTTACAACACACACAGGGACCATGGAGAACAAAAGTAGTCACATTCCAGAAGGAAGGGCAATGCCAGCACAAATTCAGAGAAGATTTCAGCATCTACAAACGAGTGATAAACAAATAAGTTACATTTGTCTTAATAGTTAAGGTACTTGAATGCATTTTTAAGATTTAACTCCTGAGTTTAGTTTCACTTTAAGTTAGTCAATAAAGGGTATCGCCTAATTTACAATCTTTCTGCATATTATGTATCCAAAAAGCAAATTAAAACAAAGTAATCGGCTAATAATTTTAATGCATCAGGATTATTTAATGCTTATGTTTTGTATATTCACGTATGCAAAACCTATGTTTTTAATTAAAGCTTGTAATATTGAGACGCTTTGCAGATAAAGCACACATCTGTTCATGGCTTGTTCTTGCCATGGTGCAGATGATCACGATCTTCTTCAGGAACATTAAGGACTTTACGAGGTTGTATTCTAAGAGGTTGTCTTTGATAGTGTTGCTGGGACCTCTGAGGAGAATGATGCAGGTGGTCTCTGTCTTCTTCAGCTTTAAGAAATGATACACAATGTTATTTTTCATTGTTATAAAAAAATTGTCAATATAGAAAAGCATGGAACTACATTATCTTCCTGCCAATGAAGAGTTTCTTATAGTGGCCTTTACAAAAATTACCAAATTGATTAAGACACTCTCCAAAACATTACCTTTAGAATCCATAAAACAAATAAATCTATGTGGTGGGTTGTGATAGTATATTCATTCCTTTTTGTAGTTAAGTCGAGTTAAAGTTGCAAATTGAAGTGTATATGGCCAACAAAAATCCTTGTACAAAGCGTTAAGAGTATTTTCATTCCAGGGGTGGCTTGGAAACTTTCCATAGTGTAATAAGTATACCATTAATTACAGACATTTTGCTTTTAGGTTTTGCTTATTTGCTTTTAAATTAAAAGCTAACTCCAGACAGTTGTTCAGCTTTGGACAGAGTGTTGAAGGAATAGAACCTACACTACTGGTCTAACATTTTAGAACACCCCCAGTTTTCCAGTTTTTATTGACATGTCAGCAGTTCAGGTGCATTGAATAATCTGAAATGGTACAAAGGTAAGCGGTAAACTGCCAGACGTGAAAAAAAACAGTTTAGGTTAACAAAAACTGGAAAAATTTTTTTGCAATTAGGGCTCAGTCACACTAGATGCAGTGCGTTCCGGCCCGATTTTGGCCAGAATGCACTGCCTCGTATTGCGGCCGACCCACTTTTTAGAGGGGTAGGAGGGGGCGTGGTGGGCCATTCAAGTGAATGGTGCCGTAGCCACGCCCTCCGGCCGCAATGTGATCTGCCGCGCGGGATCGCAAGGCACATTGTGCCTGCGGTCCGGTCCTGTGCGGTACGTTCAAAATGCTACAAGCACTATTTTGATTGCACAGGACCGGACCGCAGGCACAATGTGCCTTGCGATGCCGTGCGGCGGATCGCATTATGGCCGGAGGGCGTGGCTACGGCGCCATTCACTTGAATGGCCCACCACGCCCCCTCCTACCCCACTAAAAAGTGAGCCGGCCGCAATGCGAGGCAGTGCGTTCTGGCCAAAATCAGGCCGGAATGCACTGCATCTAGTGTGACTGAGCCCTTAACCCCTTCATGACTGAGCTTATTTTCAGTTTCTGTTCATAAATAAGTGTTTGTTGTATTCTTATTAAGCAAGGGTGAAGATGTGGGGCAGATCTGGAATAATGTATTTGTCAAGAAAGCTTTGTAACACAGCACAGCGATGGGCCCAACTGTTGGGAACACTGTTGGTGTCCCCAACAGTATAACTAACTAGCGAATAATGGTCTAACCTTTTCAATACATAATGTTTTTAGACCAGTTTTACAAAAATGTTTATAACCTATTTACATTTAAATACTGTAAAGCTGATTGTTTACCTTGGTGTATTATGGATGAATCAACGGCCACAGCTATATCTTCATCTACTGGAGGTTCAATGGCCAACAAGCCCAGCTCACTGCAAACAGAAAGGATTCTTTCTTCAAAATCAATTGTATGCATGCAAGAAAATACATTGCTCTAAAATGAATTACTGTTTTGAATTTAAAGCTGAAAACCAGAACCAACCCTTCCTTCGCCCCAAATCCCCCTATCTCCATGTAGAGCAACAAAGCCAAAGTCAGTTTTAAATACCTATCTCCCGTGACATAGAAATTAATGCTTTATTCCTTGTGACATAACCACATTTCTATTACTTTGCAGTGCTTTCTTACAGGCAAACAGTTCCACTCAAGGTAGCTATGACATAAGGATGCCAGAGCTGCCTGATCTGAAAATTGTCTGATCTCATACAGCTGGAAACCAGAATTGGGTGAAGGTAAACCGCATCAGGGCAGAGGAATCAGTTCAGGGCAGAGGAATCATTTTTTTTTGTAATAAGATGGGGCATTCTGTATATCGTCAGTCTTAAATCTTAAGTTTTATATATTTCTGTGTTCCCGTCATTCCAAACATTTGTACGATTTCCTTATCTTCCATATCGATTGAAGATCAGTGTTTTTATAATGTGAAAGTGAGTCTTGATTTTTATAGGAATGGTGACTTGTTCTTGAAAATGTATGCGGGATGGTGAAATGTTTGGTTCTCAAATCTCCAGCTAAAAATGCTGGCTCCTAAGTCATTGCCCTGGCTGTTATTTTAAGGAATCTATGCAAGCCTGGAATAAGGCTGGTCATACAGGTTGAGTTTTTTCTCCTACAGCCCCGTGGACTGAACTGGAAAAAAAACCCATCAGCTTGAGGGGGGTGGAATGATGTGTCGCTGTCAGAATACCTTAACAGTGACTGCAGCTGCTTGGCTGGGGTCCTCATCGGGCCACACAATGGTCAAGTTTTATCAGAAGGACTTAATTTCGCCCAGTGTATGGCCAGCTTAAGAAATATTGGTAACTGAGGCAATTGTAGGCCCTTATTCAGAAAGGTAGCCAATTGTGTCCAATCAGCAATTTCCTTTTGTATTGTTTTATTTAATTCTAGATGTGTGTGTATATATAATGGAACTTGCAATATAAACCCAGTCTTCAATGTTCCTGTGTTCACTGTAATAAAATTGACTTTTTTGGATTTTTTTTACTTTGCATTAAGACTGCCTCACCGCATACTTTAATGACATATCAATATATTATGAAGTGCAAGAACTTTCTCAGGTGTTATGTAGAGTCAATATGTCACTTACATGTCACGCTTCATGGCTCTCTGCCTCTCATCCTCTTCTGTGAGAGCCTAGAATGGAAGAACATTATTTTTTGCTTTTGCTGATACATTCATAAATTGTCATTGAATTATGGGCAGTGTACTGTTAGGAATATACGTTTTATTTTTCCACTAGCCTACCAAGGTTGATTTTGTTTTGATGCATTCCCGCTGATGGACTAGTCTGAGAATATTAAGATTCTAAAATTAAACCGTCCACTTAAAGTAGTATTATACTCTCAAACGTTTTTTCAATAATGAATCCAGATCAAATAAATATACATTGCCCAGCAAAGCATTGCTATACATTTTTGCCTAAACACTTTCAGCCATCATGTTTTCGAACAGCTGCTGTCAAAACTCTCAGCTCAACTTCCCTAAATGTCCTGTGCAGTACGAGATCACAAGGGACAGAGCAGACTCCAGCAATTGTTCGTCTACTAGCTTGGAGGAGGGAAGAGAGGGGGCCAGCGGGAAGTAAATAATGTGTTTGTGGGGACACACACAGCTTACTAGCACACTGAAGGGTTACTGCATAGCATGCTGCTTGAGAAAGGCATCACTCTAAAACAGGAAGTCAATGCTAAGGTGACCAGCTGATTCTGCAGGAAATACAAACTTTTAAACATCAAGGAGCAGTATTAATTGTAAGTGAATTCATCAGCATTTGAAACGACTTTAAATCCTTTTGACTTTAATATCACTTTAACCACTTGAAGACCAGGTGTTTAGACCCCCTTCCTGGCCAGGCCATTTTTCTGTATTTAGCGCTGCGGTACTTTGACTGATGTTTATTCCGTCATGCAATGCTGTACTGAAATGAATTTTATACCATTTTTTGGGGACATATGGAGCTTTCTCTTGGTGGTATTTAATCACCACTGGTGTTTTTCTTTTTTACTATATTTCAGAAAATTTACAGAATTTTTTTTTTTACATTGTTAGGAAACAATTATTATTACCTTATTATTTTTTTGTAAAATATAAAAGACGGGGTCACGATCGGGTAAATAGACACCAAACATGTCATGCTTAAAAATTGCACGCACCTGCGAAATCGCAAAAAACTACCATACCCAAAATTGACCATAGGCGACGCTTTAAACGTTTTTACCACTCATCAGTTTAGTGTTATCAGTGATTGATGGGCCGAGAATTATTGCTCTCACTCTGACGTTCGCGGCGATATGTAACATGTCCGGCGTAATGGGTGCAATCGTCGTTTTCGAAGGTATGCACACCCGACGCATGTTTGCATGCGTGCATGTATGGGTGGGGGCTTTAAAAACAAATTTTGTTTTTTTACATTATTTTTTATGTGTAACTTTAAATTATTTTTTTTGGAAACTTAAATTTTGTTTCCTATTTTTTTTTCCACTTAACTTTATTGCTATTGCATAGGGGGCTAAGAAACCCCCTTATATGATAGCGAAAGATGTGACAGGTCCACTTTATGAAGACATCAGGGGTCTCCAAGACCCCTAATGTCACCTAGGACCCCCCTGAAGAAGCTGATGAAGCAGAGATCTGCTTCATCAGCTTCTCTCCAGCGTCTGAAGCTGGAGAATGACACAAGAATGCGGATGTGATGCAATAAACATCACATCCGCATTCTGGCAGCGGAGAGTGGACCGGAGGGAGGTCGTGTACCGACCTCACTCTGATCCCTGTGACAGAGGCACTATGCTGGTCCCGACGCTCGCACCGGGCACAGCAGAGCCCGGGACCAGCGTGGCAACGGGAGGGGGGGAAAAAAAAATGGCCGGCCGAGAGGTAGTTGAAGCTGAAACGAAGTGTACAAAAATTAAATTAACTTCTATTGTCAGCGCCCCCCACAATCAGCATAATGTTACAATATGTTTAAAAAAAATAATAATTTGTATTTCATCACTGGATCTGTCTACTGCTCTTTGCTCGGAGTTTGGTGGAAGGGGCTGGTAGTCTTGCAAACAGCATTTTACCTTGGATCTTTTTCAAAAGTGTTATAGGGAAGAACACATTTCCAGGATCCTTTTTAGGTGTGCCTAATTCCACTTGCATGCCACTGGGTGTTGCAGATTTTAGCTGTGTGATTGGTTGACTGGTTGAAGACACATCTGAAGGGATGCTGGTGATATGTTATTTCACATAAAGCTCAGTAACAAAATGATTGGTGGCAGAAAAGGCTAACAGCTGTGAGAAGGGGGTCAACGATGGTACGGATCAGGGGGAGTAGAAATTGATAAATGATGGAGGTCATTCAGACATGTGAAAACATTCTCAAGATAGCAGCTACTGCTTCAAAGAGTTATATTGTAGAAATGCAAGTTTACAGGGAATTGAAAGTATTCAGTTTCAACACAGAAGAGCACATGTCACATGTGTGTTAAGAGAAGATAAGGCGCAGTTTAGCTTTAAATCTATAATAAGGATTATTTATTTTTATAAAGTATTGATTAAGTATTTGAACTCTTTATTCATGTATAAAAGCCTAAGCCTTACCTTGGTCTTTCCTGGGGTTATCACCATAATAATCAAAGCACCAACACAGCAAATTATTAGAATCCTAAAACAGAGATAAGAAAATATATAACACATATCTCTATAGATTAATGCTCCTGTTTTTTTTTTTTTTTTCAAGACAGCTGTAGTGCAACATGCCACCCTAATAGTACGATGAAGCACTAAGCCTTGTTCACACCAAGCGCGGAGCAGGTGCAGAGCAGTTGCAGACCGGATCAAAACTGCGTCTAATGTATTCCAATGGTATTTTTTGCTCCAGTTCACATCGCAGCATTCAGTTCCAGAGCAGATGAAAAAAACTGCAGCAGGCCCTATTTTACCTGCTCTGGATCTGCTCTGGAACACATGCAAACACATCACAAACGCATGCAAACACACTGAAAGCCCATTATTTTTTTTAAAATCAAAAACGGCCTGGAAAACACATCAAAAACGCGGCACAACCCACTGCACTGCGTGTGCAGAAACCTGAGCAGATCTGCTCTGCATTTGGTGTGAACAAGGCCTAAGAATGGGTTCACACCTAGGCGTACGGAATATGCGCGTATGCCGCGTGTTTCGTGCCGCGCGTTTTTCACCGTGATTTGCGGCAAAAGAAACATGCGTTTCCGAGGGCTATCCGGCTGTATCCGAATGGATACGCACGGCAAATACACCCCAAAGAAGCTCCTGTACTTCTTTGGGCGTAGGGCGTTTTGCAGCGCGTTCCTACGTGCTTTAAAATGCCCAGGTGGGAACCATGCCCATAGTCAATCATTGGTTTTTCACATATTGAGCGTTTTACAGCGCGTAGGTACGCGCTGTAAAACGCAAAGGTGTGAACCAGGCCTTAGAGGCTGAAAACAAGCCCACAGCTGGGGCAAGCCATAAGCTTGTTTTAAAGTCTGGCATTTAGCTTTCCACTTTGTATTA